AGTTTTCTGTCTGCTAAAGAAAGACATTATACTGTTACACATAAGGTTAATTTAGAAGTTTAAACTTATCCATCCTTTTTATATATATTTATTTAATATTACATTATAATTATAAATTTATAATTTTATATAATATTATAATTATAATATTTCTATAATTTTAAATCTTTGTCGACAGGGGAGGCAATACACAAGGTGATTTCCAAAATATTGTGGAGGAAAATAATCTACCTATTCTTTTTGGATAAAATGAATCTACCTCAATTATTTGTTGTTGACATAAATATTTTGGATAGAGTGTGGGCCAGAATTGAACATTTGTGGTGGAATGACCTCTTGCCGACACCAACTTTAACCCTAGTCTTCAACTCTAAGCCTCAAAAGCAGCAAACCCCAACTAAATGTGGTCCTTTTAGTTGTAGGGCCCTAGAAATATCTCCCACCAATTTTAATAGGACAAAAATTGCATGTATAGTCCTAGCCTTTTGAGAATAGTTCAATTATATTACAAAGAAAAATAACAAGTTTCAACCTATTAAAAAAATAAATGCTCTATTATATATGTACATAAATTATTTATTTTTTGGCCATATGTGTATGTAGATTTTTAATCATAACAATTAGGCACTTAATTTTTTTTAATCATGATTTAACTTGTTTTTATAAAATATATGAAAATGGTTAAAAAAATCGTTAATTCTCTTAGTAATATATTTTACATAGTAAATCATAAATTGTGTTTCCAATTTTCAATATCTTTATTTATTATTTATAAAATCTTTAATGGTTATAATTGAAATATGAATAATCATGTTTTAGTTTCTTTAAGGTGTTTTAATTATTAACAACAATGGTTTTTCTTTTTTTTTTTTAAGTAAATAGAGAGTATATTAAAACTAATATATGACAACAATTTTAGGTATCATGGTCCCAATAGTCTTAGTACAACAATAGAGAAACAACAAGAAAACTGTAATCAATCAAAGAATGTATCACTTTTTAGTATCGTGTTGGTCTTTATGTAAAGGTTAAATGTTAAATTTGGTCTCT